CTTGCCCACATTGTGGGTACACTCAGGAGGCAGAAATATCTGCTAATAAATGGAGGCAGCATGCCCAGAGAAAACAAGACTAAAGAATAGGCTTTGCTCCAGAAGTAAGGTTGCTTTCTGTCTCCTGTACACTGGCTTGTGCATGCCCATGTGCTCTAGGAAACTGCCCCATGTCTCCCCAGCCTTCCATCTCTCCAATGCCTCAAATGCAGATGGGCTGACTCAAGGATGTTGTAATCGGGGCCAAAAGGCCCACCTTGCCAATAAACAACCCCCTACCCCATCACCCTACCATCACCTTGCCATGGCCTTTTCTTCCTGGGTTTCTAAAAATTTCCTAGTTAGAGAAACAATCTTCTGCCCTAGCTCAATCCTCTAGCGTTTTAAGGTGTGTGTTACCTTAAATCAGATCAACTAGTCCATGTGTTGAATACTCAGAAAGACACTAAAAATCTAAGATTTCACATAATAATGATAATATTAAGAGTCCTATAAAGAGGGGGATTGTTGAAGAGAAATTCGGACAGTACCTGAAATATCTGTTGCGGACGAAATTTTCCTATTTGCCTAAACTACTAAGAACCATCCTGACTTCCACCTTGACCTCAGACAAATGGAAAGGGTGCCTTTCTCATGTTTACTGTGTTGAGGAGACCCTAAGAGCCACACTATACGACTCTGGGTTTCAAGGAGCATACAATCCCGTATATGCCAGGCACAGGGCCAGGCACTACAGATACGGAGGTGAGCAAGGCAGGGGCTCATGCTCATAGTCCAGGTGGTAAGATGAGATGCTGGCATGAAAAATCAACTAGCGGGGAGGGTTAATGAGTACAAAAAAAAAATACAATGAATAAGACCTACTGTTTGATAGCACAACAGGGGACTATAGTCAATAACTTAATTGTACATTTAAAAATAACTAAAAGAGTATAATTGGAATGTTTGTGATACAAAGATAATTGCTTGAGGGGATGGATAGCCCATTCCATGATGTGATTATTACACATTGCATGCCTGTATCAAAACACCTCATGTACCCCATAAATATATACACCCACTATGTATCCACAAAAAATGTTTTTAAGTCAACTATACAAGAGCTATCGTTGGGTAATAAAGAAAGATTGCAAAAAAAAATAACACAGATTGACTTTTAAACTATGGGTCTTGACTCATCAATGGATAATGAAAGCAGGTTTGGTGGACAGTGGATGTGACCAGAAGTTTTTTTTTAAAGGAGCAGAATAGAATGGAAAATATCAATGCATACAGCACATACTTTGATTATCATTTTGTGAATCTTTGTTTTCAGTTTTTTATCAAGTCACATGTGCTCCGATCATGATATAAAATATATTTTTATTGTGAATTATAGGCACAAAGGTTGAAAACAAGTGACATCACAGGAAGGAGTCACCAATATAAATTTGAGAAACCGGGAAATAAATCTCTCAAAAGTACAGAATGTAGCACAGAATAGGAGCTCCAAAAATGTTTATTGAGGCTGGGCACGGTAGCTCACGCCTGTAATCCCAGCACTTTGGGAGGCCGAGGAGGATGGATCACCTGAGGTCAGAGCTCAAGACCAGCCTGGCCAACATGCTGAAATGCCGTCTCTACTAAAAATATAAAAATTAGCCAGGCATGGTGGTGTGGGCCTATCATCCCAGCTACTCAGGAAGCTGAGGCAGGAGAATCGCTTAAGCCCAGAAGGTGGAGGTTGCAGTGAGCTAAGATCGCACCACTGTGCTCCAGCCTGGGCAACAGAGCAAGACTCTGTCTCAAAAAATTAAAAATTAAAATTAAAAAAGAATTGAGCCAGGCGCGGTGGCTCAAGCCTGTAATCCCAGCACTTTGGGAGGCCGAGGCGGGTGGATCACGAGGTCAAGAGATCGAGACCATCCTGGTCAACACGGTGAAACCCCGTCTCTACTAAAAAAAATACA